CTTGCCCAGGGTCACACAGTTAGTTCATGTCTGAAGCTGGGTTTGAACTCAGGAAGAGTAGTCTTCCTGACTCCAGACACAGTGCTCTATGCACTATGGCGCCCCCTAGTCCCCTTTTTGTATAGTGCTTTCTAAGTTCATGGATTGCCTCCCCCATAGAATAGAATTTCCTTGAGGGCCAGGTCTGTTTCACTTTTGTTTTGTAGTCTCTGCACCTAGAACAATGCCTGGCACTGAGTAGGTGCTTAATAAGGGCTTGTTCGTAGGTTGGCTGACAGATATAATTCACTACCCTCGCCTCATCTAACAGATGAGGAAACTGAGCCCAAGACGGATTGACTTGTCCCAGGCCAAGTGGTAAAGTCAGGATTCAAACTCAGGTTCTCAGACTCCCACCCCAGTGCCCTCTGCCTGTCTCTATTCCTTTCCTTCAGGAAGGTTGGGGTCAGACCTTCCATCCCACAAGTCACACCGCTCTCCCCTACTCCCTCTCACACACAGCCTCATACACACATATACCCCTATTCCCCATTCCAGCTTGAAGCAGCCCCGTTAATCACGATCCCTGCAGTGCCTAAAGTGGCCCTGCCCCCTCCCCTCAGCTGCATTGCCCACCCCCTCCCCGTCCCCTCCTCCCAGTCCCAGTGTCCCGCATACCCTCCCTCCAGTAAACCCCGCCACGGAGCCCTGATGGTAGAGATGGCCCCACCTAATTGGGAGGCGAGCTCCCAAAGCTCCACTCGGTTATCACAGAGGGTGCAGATCTCCCCAGCTCAGGCACCTCGGCCACAGGCCCTGAGGGCCAGCTCAGAGACGGAGGGAATTAATTACATTTTCTCCGTCTCCTTCTTTTAAAGTATGGGAAAGTGATGGAACGACCGGAGAAGGGAGGGGGGAGGAAAAAGAAGGGGGGATGAGGAGGAGGTGGAAATGGGATCTGGAGGTGGAGGCTGGAGTGGGAGCCAGTGCAGCCTCGTGGAAGGAGTATCAGAGTTGGGGTCCAAAGTTGTGGGTTGGAGTCCCCCCTTCTGCTACTTCCTAGTTCTATGACCTTACTTCCCCTTCTCTGGGCCTCAGTTTTCCCTACTGTAAAAGGAAGAGATTAGCCTAGGAGATCTCTAAGGTCCCTTGTGACTCTAAAAATCAGTGATTCTGAGAGGTAATGGAGGAAAGGTTAGATTTAGCTCTGAAAGCACCTTCTCTGTTATTACAGGCCCATGACACACTCGGCCCCTTCCTTCCCCATCCCCAGCCCCCATTCCCCACTAACAAACAAGTTTCTAACTGGCGGAAATGAGGGCACTCATTGATTTACCCTGACGATGAAGCTGGGACTGATTTGGAGCAGAGGAGGTTGGGGTTGGGGGCGGGGGCAATGAATGAGCAAAGGAGGGGAAGGGATGCCTGTCAATCATTATGATGGGCAGCCTGGAGATTTGCCTTCAGATAAAATCTTACAGATGTGGAAAGGATATTGATTTTGAGTTAGCATCGGTAATGTACCAAGAAGTAATACATTAGACAAAAGCAAGGTCACCAAAAAAAAAAATAAGGAAGAAAGGGAGGGAGGAAGAGAACCCACCCTATAGAGGACTTTGCATTCTTAAGAGCGGGGGATTATCACATCAGACCTTGACTTCCTTAAGTTCAAAAGTTTGCTCGCTGCAAACTTAGACCCCAGACCTAGGAGAGACCTTTTCCTGACTTTAGAGAAAAGAGGATCCTGAGCAGGTACCGACTTCCTGCGGCTGGAGGAGAGGGGCAAAGCCAAGAATAGTGGACACAGCTGCTTTCCTCCTCTCTGACCCACTTCTCTCTGGTATTTGAGATTCAGGTTGGATCAACCAGTCAGGTTACCCTTCCTTGCCTGTTCCCTATTGCAAAGGTCAGGCTATAGCTAGCTGGAAGAGGTGTGTGATTTTCACATAGATGACCTTAGAACAGAAGAATGGGACATAGAATGATGGAATTGGGAAGAGCCTTAGAACATTGAATGTCAGAGTTGGGAGGGCCCTAGAACACAGAATGTCAGAGCAGGGAGGGTCCTTAGAACCCAGGATGTCAGAACTAGGAGGATCCTTAAGACCATAGAATCATAGACTACCAGAGTGGAAAGGGACCCAGAAGTTATCTGCCCAACCTGAATAGGAATCTTTTCTATAATCTCTACCCCCAAAGCAGTTACCTAGACTCTGCTTGAAGACACTTAGTAAAGGGGAAACCACTACATCCCAGGGCAGGTCATTCTGAAACTTTTGGACAGCTCTAATTATTAGGAAGTTGATCCTAACATAAAGCCTAACTCCTCCTTTCTGGAAATTCTACCTCTTCTTTGTCATTCTTACTTCTGAGGCTAAGCAGAATAAGTCTAATCCCTTTGCTAATTTGAGTTAACTTCCAACATTTATTAAGTGCCTACTGAGTGCCAGGAGCTATGCTATGTGCTGGAGATAAAAATATTTTTAAAATGACTCAGTTCTTGCCTTCAAGGAGCTTCCATTCACCCAGATGGACATAACGCACATACCTAAGAATAATACAAGTTAACATCAGCACTATTAGTGAGTCTTCTTCAGGTTCAGTCATCCAACCAGTACAGAATCATAACATGAAGAGTATCTGGTTGACATCCTCCCTTACTCCAGAAAGAGAATGCTGGAGACTACTAGTCACTTTGCTGAAATTTAGGTATCACATCTATGGCATTACCCCACTCTACCAGTCCAAAAGATGTCAAAAAGGGAAATGAAGCTATTTTGGCATGATCTGTTCTCAATGAGGCTATGCTAATTCTTAGCGATCACTGTTCCTCTTTCTAAATACTGACAAACCATCCTTTCAATAATAAGTTTTAGAATTTTGCCTGGAACTGGATTCAAGCTCAATTAAAGCCAGAAGGGACCTTTGAACATAGAATAAATGTCAGAGTTATAAGAGAGGATAGAACATAGAATGTTAGAATATTGATTTTCAAAGCTGAGAGATACTTTAGAAATCACTGATGAATGAATAAAAGAAATACATTTATTAAGTGCTTACTTAAGCCAAGGGCTGTGCTACAGTCTGGGTATGTAAACAGAAAAATGCAGACAGTCCCTGGTCTCAAGGAGCTCACACCCTAATTGGAGGAAACAACTCAGAGTAGAATGGATGGATGAAGAGGCCTGGAAGCCCTAAGGTTTCTATAGCAGGATGAAGGGCAAGGCTCAGGGGGTTTCCTATTGTAGTCATAGATCAGATGACAGTGCCCAGGGATCTGGAGGGCACAGAGACAGAGCAGATGGTAAGACCTACAGGACCTCAGAATGTAACAGCGGGGTGGTAGAGAGAGGATATTGATTTTGAGTTAACATTGTTAATGTACCGAGAAGTAATACATTAAACAAAAGCAAGGTCACTGAAGGGGAGAAAAAAGGAGAAAATTAAAAGAGGTTAGATGGTCATCCATCTCACCAGAAGGAACAGAATTGTTGACTCCTACCTCATTCAAATAATTTGAGTAGACCAGCCCCTTTGTTTTACAGATGGGGAAACTGAGGCCCACAGAAGTGAAGTTATTTGACATTTTAAAGCCCTATGTAAACGCCAGGTGTGAGCATGCTGACTGTCCAAGATCACATAGCTTATGAGAAATCTCTTACCTATGACATGGGCTGTTAACTCCAGTAAGCCCTCAGTAGAGTTTCCTATTTGATAGTTCCACACATCCTGTACTCATTCTCACCTCCTCACTTTTGTCTACGTTATTTCACATTTACACAGTGCATTGAAATTCACAAAGCATTTTCCTCGCAATATCCCTGTGAAGTAGGCACTGTAGCTATTATTCCCCTCATTTTCAGATGAGGAAACTGAGGCTCAGAGACGTTAAGTAACTTGCCTGGAGTCACATGGCTAGGAAGTGTCAGAGACAAGATTCAGACTTCCTGACTCCCAGTCTAACACTCTATCCACTACTCCACACTGTCCCCCCATTCCTTTTAACCCCATCAGCTATCCCATAGAGATATGCCTGATTATGAGGAGTCAACCAGAGAGAATAAGGATGATCCCCCTGTGCCCTGGCCGTACTGTTCAGTTCAAAAAGCCAACTTGGTTTGAGTGGATAGAGTGTTGGGTTTACAATTGGAAAGACCCAAGTGTGAGTCCTGCCTCAAAAACTCACATGTGGTCAAGTCACCTTCTGTTACCATGAGCACCATCACTATCACCACCACAGTTGTTGTCAACTCGCCTTCATCATTACCGTGAGCCCCAGAGCCACCATCACCATCACCCTTACCATCATTACTGTCACTATCATGGTCTCTGAGATCAGCAGTATCGTCCCCACCACCATCACCATCACTGTCTCCACCACTACCACGATCACTTTCCCAATCACCATGGTCACTATAGCCATCAACAGCATAAAAAAAATGATTACTACTAATAATATAAAAATAAGTGTCAATATGGCATAGGAGATAGGACTTGGATTCAGGTAGATTGGGATTCAAATGTAACTTTTGATACTTAGGAACTTTGGGTGACTCTGGTCGAATCACTAAGCCACAGTTTTCTCATCTGTAAAATGGGAATAATACCTGTAATACCTCCCTGGTGCCATTGTTAGGAAACTAAAATGAGCCCACATATATAAATCACTTAGAAAACCTTAATGAGTCATATAAATATCAGTTCTTTTATTACCATCATCACCACCAGTAGGACCTCAAGACCCCTACCACAGTCACCATCATTCTTATGATAAGTGAATAGGAGAGAGAAGAAGGCATTTCAAGAAGGAGGGATAGAAGTAGAAAATGACAGAAGACATCTATGCATATCTCAGAGGCCATTTGGGTTCTCATGCCCTGATTGCTGACTTTTGCCATATAGGGTATTTGGAAGCACCATACCAGATCTCTGGGACCTATAGCTGATTCCCTGTGATATTAGTAAGTTTCACGGGCCCCCTTCATGTCTCCACTCATTCTCAAGCTTTCTTTCCCTTTCAGGTGATGAGCATCCTGAGCAACCCAAGTGGGGTACCCCCCCAGCCACAGGCCGACTTCTCCATCTCCCCACTGCATGGGGGTCTGGATACCGCCAACTCCATCTCAGCCAGCTGCAGCCAGCGCAGTGATTCTATCAAGTCGGTGGACAGCCTCCCCACTTCGCAGTCCTACTGCCCCCCCACCTACAGCACCACTGGCTACAGTGTGGACCCTGTGGCTGGCTACCAGTATGGCCAGTATGGACAGAGTGAGTGCTTCTCTTCTCCCTCTCTGCCTATTACTCCAGTCCCTGACTTGGTGTGGGAGAAGTCGGGTACAGCCATGCCCCAGCATTCTACCCCCCATTTCCCTAAACCTAGGACCCCTTTAAAGGGGCAATTGCTACTATTAATTCATTCACTCATCCAAATATTCATTCATTCATTCACTCAATCATGAAACCATTCTTTCATTCATTTGTTCAGTCAACCATTCATTCATTTAAGAAATATTTATCAAGCATTTACTCTGTGTAAGGCCTCACACTGGGTAGGATGAGGGATAGAATGATACATAAAACATGGTCTTTGCCCTCCAGAACGCATCCTAGAGGATTTTTATAGATTTCACTCTTGTCTCCCCTCAGCCACCATCTTTTTATACTAGAGACCTCGTCTTCACCATCTGTCTTCACAGTCCGGCCATCTGACCCCATCCCCCTCATTTTTCCTTCAATCCTCTGGGTTTCTTGAGTTTCTGCGGCTGAATTTTCTCTGATCTTGAGGTATACTCCACTATACCCTACCCATCAGACCCATTTCAGGAACCACTAGGAGATGGGAGAGGCCGGGAGCGGAATGAGGATAGGGTCTGCTGCGGGTAATTTGGACTTGGAGTCAATGAATCCTAGCTGTGTGCCCTTGGCCAAGTCCCTTCCCTCCTTTGGGTCTCAATTGAAAAGCATTGTGGCATTATGGGAAGAGCACTGGACTTGAAATCCTAGGAGCTGGGCTTGAGTCCCAGCTCTTTGTCGGTTGGGTAGCCTTGGGTGAAGAATAGTACAGTGGAAGACCGGAATTTAAGACCTGGCTTGTTGACTTAGCACATGCCTTTGGGCAGCAAGTGCTTTCCCTACTCAGGCCTCAGTTTCCTCATCCGGTAAAATGATGTGGTCTGATCTGGACCATTCACTTTACCTCTGAGCCCCAGTTTCTGGAAAGAGGGAACTTTCTGTAAAGCAGGAAGAAAAAAATCAATTTCCTGAGTTTATTGGAAAGGAAAGTACTTCATAAACTCAAAAGCATTATAGAAATGGGAATGATTATCCTTCTCTCCCCAGAGCCCCTGGCCCCCTCCCCATCCCTTCCCAGCCCAGGCAGCTTCACCTGCTGGTGTCAAACTAATCAGAACGACGTGTGGCAACCCAGGGAGACCCGCTGGGGTTAAAGGTGTATCCTTCTCCTGTGCCCCCTCCTTAACTTGTCCTCAATGACCCGGGACTGCACTTCTCTCCCCACCCCACCCCTCCAATTGTACACACACCCCACAACGCCCCTTTAATGTCCTTAATTTCTCTAGCTAAATGGGAACCGGCTGCCAGGGGATCAATAGCAGCTTTCGACCCCGGTTCTCCTGGGGGTGGGGGGGGTATGCCTGTGCTCCTATGGTTTTTCCAAGGGAGCTGGAGCGCCGACCCCCTGACCTTCCCTTTGCTCCCGGTCTGGGGGGGTGGGGTGGAGCGTGGAGCTGGACACATGTTAATGATAAAGATCCGAAACCAATTCCAAGAACGAGGACTGGCCCTGACGCCCCCGGCCCGGGTTAGTCACACCCCGTGTGTGCCCACAGACCAAGGCACAAAAAATAAAGCCCGGGTAGGAAATAAAATTAGCTCCCCTCCCCCCTTATTGGAGTGAGAGAGAGAGGAAGAAAGGATCCAGGGAGATCAAAAGGGAAAAGGATGCGGGCTGGGGAGAACGGGGAGCAGGGGAGAAAGGAGTGTTTGTTTGGTTTAGAGAAACCGCCTAGGGAAATGTGGGCCAGTACAGCCCCACTCTCCCCCCTCAATCCGGCCCCATTGTATTCATCCCATCTCTTGACAATCTTTCCCACTCCCGGTTTGTCGCCAGGAATGAGGTGGGGGGGGGGCCTTTCTACCTAATCCTTTTGAGCTCTAAATGGCCCCCTCATTCCTGGGCCTCGAAACTATAGAATACCAGGGCTGGATGGGCCCCTAGAACACAGACTATCAGAGTTATATGGCACCTTAAAACATAGAGTGATAGAGCTGGGAGAGACCTTAGAATGTCAGATCTGGGAGGAACCACAGAATTCGAGGTTGGGGGGAGAGGACTTAGAACCCAGATTGTCAGAGTTGTGAGAGCTCTTAGAACGTGTGGGATCTTGGACCGCAGAATGTCTGAGCTGGGAAGGACTTTAGGGCAGGACTGTCAGAACAGGAAAAAGTTAGAACCAAGAGAGGCCTTGTGGTCTGAAGAATGTGGAATGGCAAAGCTGAGGTAGCTTAGAACGGGGAACGACTGAGACTTCCAGAGAAGGGTCTTGCCCAAAGTCACACCACTGCTAGGTGGTGGAACTAAACCCACCCCACACCCACCCCCCAGCTTCGAGGGCAGCAGTTTCTTTCTTTTTTTTTTAATTAAAAAATTATCTATTTTTTGATAGATACTCAATAAACATCTGAAGTAACTTCCTTAGCACAGTACCTTGTCATTAGCGAGTGCTTAATTAACACTTTTCATTCAGGGGGCATACATCTGCATGTCTCCCCCCCAAAAAAAACAAGTTTGTTGATTGCTAACAGAAGGAAACAATGTCCTTTTAGTATGTCAGTCAATACTGACCATGGCTGGAGTTTCTTTGTCTCTAAATGTTCAGTTTGTTTACATGACTGTCAATCTCCAGTAAATGCTATTTCCACTATGCTCTAGCACCTTCCCTCCCGTGATTTTCCAATTTCAGTGAGGTCCCCAATCCCTCCAGGGGCTCCTCTGTCCCCGTGAGCTAAGTGAGCCCAAGTCTCTCATCCTGTCATACTCCTTCCCAGCCACAAGTTGAAGCACAGTCCAGTTCCAGAAGAGTGGCTCTTAGGAAAACAGCTGAGGCATCTTTTTTTTTTTTCAGAATTCCAAATCCTATAAGATCCCTATATTATCCCTGGTACACATTTTGAGGAAGTCTGAGGCAGGAATGCCCTCCTTCAGTCCTTTGTCATCTTTCCCACTCCAATCTTCACATCAACCTCCAATGCAAGCTGGGAATTTATCTTTCAGTCCAAAATCTGTTACCTTCTGAACCAGACTCTTCATTTTCCCCCAAGAAACAAACTGCTTAGGCCAGATGTGGTTTTCAAAGGGCTCTTCCAGCTCTGACATTCTGTGTTCTAAGGGTCCTCCCACCTCTGATATTCTGTGTTCAAAGGGCCCTCCTAGTTCTGACATTCTGTGTCCTAAAGGCCCTCCCAGCTCTGACATTTTGTGTACTGAAGTCTTTTTGTACACACATTCTCTTCCAGAATTCACATGTGTCCACAAACCCTTGCATGTGCTGGGGCAATATTCTAGCTAAGGTTGCTCCTCGTAATGCTGTCCCATTCTCTACCAGACACATACAGAGATGAGCTGTCCATCCATCTGTCCATCCATCCCTTCATTCCTCCGTCCTCCAGTTCCTAGGAAGTGAGTGGAGGTGGGGGGGGTGGAAGGGGGCGGATGCCAGATTAATATAGTCCTGGCGGTTCCCAAAGGCCAGGGCCGAGCTAATGGTGCTGCTGATAGAACGCAGAAGTGTGAAAAGAATTTTAATAGATATGACAAGTCTAATAAGAATTTGTGTCTAGAAGGGACCTCCTTTGGGGCCGGAGGCTGACGAGGCAGTGACGGCTCAGATTTGTTTACTCACTGGCATCGGCCCTCCGCATCTCCTGCCAACTCCTGATTAATCTAATTTGAGGCGTTTATAGTCAGGGAAAGAGGGAGAGGCAGAGGGAGAGACACATTGAGAGACAACGAGACAGAAAGAAGGTTTGACTGAGGTCCCTAATGAGGAATGTCACAGTCCTGCCCTTCCTGTCCCTCTCCTGTTGTCCCTGTCGAGGGGGAAACACACCACGGGTCCAGGATTAGTTGTCCTTCAACTTGGCCCGGGGTTTGGAAAAGTCTGTTGGTTGTCAGGTTCATCCAAGTGACTCCAGCTCAATCAACATGAATCCAGCAGCTCCTCTGGTCCCTCAGCTGGACCCGGAGGGTGCTGTCTGAGAGGGAAGAGAAGAATCAGTCAGAGTCAGGGTCCCTGCTCTATGGGAGTTCCCGTGAATCAAGCAGAGGAGAATATGAAAATATTCACTCATTCAAACAGTATTTCTTATGCACAACTGTGTTCAGAACATGGTGCTAAGTACTGTATGAATCAGGGAGAAGTAGATATGTAGAGAGGAATGTGGAAGACATTTAAAGCCTGGGAAAGAAAGCCAGGTAGGGGGTGGCTTAGTCTGGGAAAGCTTCCCCAAGCAAGCGTCTTGAGTAGGACTCAAAGGATTGGCTTAGTGGAGAAGGCAGGGGAGGGCAAGAGTTATTGTAGTTTCTCCTTTAGTTCCATCTGTGCCCTCCCCCCAGGCCTTCATATGATCTTGACCAGCTGGTTACTAGAAAGTTCTGGTCCTTGCTCAAACTCAACATGTCCAAAACTGAACTCAGAATCACAATCACAGAATTTCAGAGGTAGAAGTGACCTCAGTGAGCATCTAGTTCTGACCAAGAATCTCACTGCAACACATGGGTTACTTGGTCATCTGGCCTCTGCTTGAAGACCCCCTTCAGGGAGGGGGAACCCACCACCTCTTGAGGCAGTGCATCCCACTTGGGGGCAGCTTAATTGTTAGGGAGAGTTTTCTAACAGCTAGCCTCAGTGTGCCTGTCTGTGGGTTCAACCTGGTTCTGCCCTCTGATGAGAAGAACAAATCAAATCCCTCTTGAATATGACAGTTTTTGAGTTCTTTAAGATAGTTCTCATGACCCCACCCTAAGCCTTCCTGGTTACTTCCATCAATCCTCCTATGGCATAAATTCAAGGCCTTGCATTGTCCTACAGATGTCTTCCTCAGGACATTCACTCTCCGACTTATCAAAGTCCTTCCTAAAATGTGGTGCCCAGAACTGACCATAATAGGTCCATATGTGGCTTGACCAAGGCAAGGTATAGTTGAGACTCCTGGAAGCCCTCCCCCTCTGAATACAGCCCAGGGCCACCCAAGATTTTTTTTAACCTATTGACTCATAATGACCTTGGAGTCCTCTAAAATCCTCAGACCTTTTTCAGACAAACTGCTGTCTAGTCATGTCTCCTCCATCTTGTAATTGTCGAATAAATATCTTGAACCCAGAGTCAGGACTTTTTATTTCTGCCTATCAGATTTTGTTTTGTTCAGTTCAACCCTAAACTCTAGCCTCTTAAGAACTTTGGGGATCTGATTCTCCCAGCCATTGTGTTGGTTCTCCCTCCCAGCTTTGTTGCAAATGCAGATTTGAACAGCATATGATCTATGCCTTTATCCAAGCCATTGGACTCCACAAGGCAAGCACAAATCCCTGGGACACTCCACTGGTGACTCCATGCCTAGTTTCAGCAGAAGTACTAATGAGTATTCTGAACCCAGCCATTGAACCAGGTCCAAATTTAGCTACTGTCATTTAGCCCCCATTGATCCATTTTCCCCCAACAATAACACAATGCTTAGTCAAATACTTTGCTAAAATATCTACAGCATAACTCTGATTTACCAGTAACTCTGGCAAAAAGGAAATAAGGTTATTTTGGAATGACCTGCTATGGATGATACCATGCTGGCTCTCTGTGATTATTATTCCCATTGCTGGATATTCATTAAACATCTTTTTAGAAATAATAGCTTCTTGAATTTTCCCTGGAATCAAAATCAAACTTACTGGTCTGCTCTCTTTCCTTTTTGCCTATCTCCAGTCCTGTGTTAACCCACACATTCTCTTTGTTGTTGTTCATTGTTTCAGTCATATCTTACTCTTTGTGGCCCCATTTGGGGTTTTCTTGGCAAAGTTACTAGAGTAGTTTGCCATTTCCTTCTCCAGCTTATTTCACAGATGAGGAAACTGAGGCAAACAGGGTGAAGTGACTTGCCTAGGGTCACACAGCTAATAAGTGTCTGAGGCTGGATTTGAACTCAGCAGACCTGCTGCTCTATCCACTGCACCACCTAGATGCCCCTATTCTCTATCTCTTCTTTAATCCTACAGTTTTCTCTATATTGGGATTTCTCTATATTGGGATTTGTTTGGTATGGAGATCTCTCAGATGAGAAAACTCCCTCTCCCAATGTAGGTCAGTGCCTTCTCTCCAACTTTTAGTCTTAGAGAGATGTCTGGAGCACTGAGAGAGTCAAGTGACTTATTAAAAGTCATACAGTTCTTATGTTTCAAAGGCATGATTTGAACCCAGATCTTCCTGGCTTGGAGGCTGGTGCTGTATTCAGAGCCTTTCCCTACATAGCTTTCATAAAACCATTTTTTGTCATCCTTAACCCTCTTCTCCAGCTGAAGCTCATCCTGACCTTTAGCTGTCCTGATACCATTTTACAGAACAGTGTTATGCTTTTGTTCTCATCAGCGGTTACTTGATTTTATGTCTATCTCTTCTTAAAATCTAAGGTTGGTTGATGAGTTCACTGTGCAACCACATCTATCTCTAGATTGTTGCTGGCTTTTTCCTTCCTCATCACAATTGTTTCCTTTTTGTTTCTTCAGAATATCAGATGATGACAATGACAATTTCTCATGCCTCTTCAGCCAACACCCCCCTATAAAATTTTGGTCCACCTGTTCCTATATCCTTCTGCTGAACCCTTTGAAATCTTCTCTTCCCAAAATCGAGAGTGCATGTCTGACCATGCCTAGCCTTTCTCTCCTCTATCACAAATTCTAGCAGGGAGTGATCACTCCCCTCCAATATTCCTGTCATTTCTATCCAAGCAACCAGTTTCTCCCTCTTGATGAGAATCAGATCTAGAATAGAATTTCTCCTTGTTGGTTCTTCCACATTTGGAAGGATGAAATGATCATTATTAAGGCCAGTCAAGAAGTTCTTCACTGTTCTACTTTTGACTAAGCTTTAGCAGATGTCTGGATCATAGAAGTCACTCATCTTTATTATTTCATGCCTCTGTACCAGGCTTGTGATCTGTTTCCTAAACTCCTCATCTATTTTCTCTTTCTGTCTTGATGGTTTATAGTAGACTCTAATGATAAAACCATTCTTGTTTGTTCCTCCTTGGATCTTTAAATAAATGCTCCCAACATGCCTCACCACTCTGATTCTTGGATTTCCTCACATAGTGTACTTTTTGGATATATAATGCTACCTCATTGCCTCCTCCCTACCCCCTACCTGTCCTCTTGCCTTTGAGTAAGGTACCTCCTCCTTGAAGAGCCACATTCCAGTCACTGGTCTCGTGCCAGCAAACATGTTATAACTATGAGACTTAGTCTGGGAACTCCTTGAGAGTGGGGATTGTCTTTTGCCTTTCTTTGTACCCCCAGCACTAAACATAGTGCCTGGCACGTTGTAGGCACTTAATAAATTCTAATTGACTGGCTGCAGTCAAATTTGCCTCCTTGCATCAGGACTCATAGTTAGTGTTACAGATTCTCTATACTTTGTGTATAGACATTCAAAGTCTTGGGATTTAATGGTTCTTTTTTTTTGGATTTCCACCTCCTATGAATATTTGGGTATTTTAAAAGATGAGAGGTAGCTTGGTACAATGCGAAGAACAGTGAATCTAGACCTGGGTTCAAATGCTGATTTCTGCCACCCGTGTGACCTTGAGCAAATCACTTAACCTCTGTTGACCTCAAGTTCTTGTCTGTAAAATATGGGGATTGAACTAAATGGCTCTGAAGTATCAACACCATGCTCATTCCTTTCTCTGGACTTTTACTCACATAGTACACTGTTTCTGGAGTACCTGTCAACCTTCCCTAAAGCTATCCAAGTCACACCCATCCTTCAAAGCCCTTTTGAGATGAGCTCTTTTCACCAGTGGTTTCACAACCACCCCAGCCACAAAGATCTCTCCTTCTGCGTTTCTACATCTCCCAATTGCCTCTTTGTATAGGCTGCCTTAAGAGTTCATTGTATCATTACTTAACTTTCCATGTGGGTGTATCTTGTCTCCTCAATCAAATTGTAAAGTTCTTGAGGGCAGAGACCCTATTATGGATTGTTGGGTTTTGGTTTTTGGGGGTTTTTTTGCATTCCCCATCACGCTTAGCACTGTGTTAAGCATGGATTATGGTTTCAATAAGCTTTTGCTGGATAGAGGACTGTAGGAGTAGATGGATGAATGGATGGATGGATGGATGGACAGACAGATAAACAGATGGACAGATGGATGGATGAGCAGATGGACAGACAGATGGATTGAATGATGGATGGATGGGATGGTCAGATGCTTGGATGCTTGGATGGATAGATGGTTGGTTGGAGTACAGAATCATACAGAATCTCCTCTATGCCATATTCAACAATTAGTTATTCAACCTTGACTGTAAGGCCTCTAGTGAAAAAGAGCTACTGCCTCCTGAGGTAACCTACTCCTCTTTTGGACAGGTTCCATTATTAGGACATTTTCCCTGACATCAAGCCTTCATCTACCTCTCTGCCAGTTCTATCCATTGTTCCTGGTTCTGCCTTCAGAGGTCAAGCAGAACAAGTCTAAATCCTTATCCATGTATTAGCTTTTCAAATATTATATGACATCTGTTATGTGCCATAGGTAAACTGGCAGAGGGACTACTGGATGGATGGAGAAATGGAGGAAGGGAGGAAGGCAGGGAGGAAGGGAAGAAGAGAGGGATGGATGAATGTAGAAATAGATAGATAGATGGAGATATGGAGGGAGAGGTGGTTGGTTGGAGAGACTGGAAAATGGAAGACTAGATCAATAGAAGGATAGAGATATAAGATTAGAATATCAATTGCTAAATATGTCTCTCTCCTTTTTTTTTTCTTAGCTGCTGTCGACTATCTGGCAAAGAACGTGAGCCTGTCCACACAACGTCGGATGAAATTGGGCGAGCACTCAGCTGTGCTGGGGCTCCTGCCTGTGGAAACGGGTCAAGCATACTAAAGCCCTAGGGCCCCCTATACCAGACCCTTGACTCCTACATCCCCACTATCCCTGCCAGCCTATCCTACACTCATCCCTGTGCCTCTCTGACCCCAAGTCCCAGACCATCCCCCTAGACCCACTGATGCATCCTCTGAGGAAGTGGGACCAGTAAGCCCCAGTCTGTTCCCATGCCACCACCCTCTGGCAAAAATCTGTGACCATAGACTATGAGGGAACACAATTACAGCCCCTCCGCCATCATCCCGTTCTGCCTCCCGATCCCAATCCTGATCCCAGCTGGATTACTGGACTGGTTTAATCCCCTGCCCCCACACTCAACCTTGCTTTAAGCACTGGGTAAAACCCAAGCTGAATTATGACTTCTATAAGATTTCTCTCTCACTCAAGGCCCTTCCCTTCCTTCAAATATATAGACTTTATAAATGCTTCCCATCACAGAGGGTGCAGCAGGCAAGACAGTTCCAAAGGGATAGGATCCTGGAGCTCTTGGTGTGAAGGAAAGAGCACTAGATTAGGAGTCAGAGTCCCTGGGTTCAAATCCTGACACTGCCACTTATGATCTATACGACTTTGGTCAAGTTAGTTCTACTCTCTGGGTCTCAGTTTCATCATCTGGAAAGTGAAGAACCAAAACCGGATGTCCTCTAAGATCCTCTTCTAGCTCCAAATCCCATGAACCTTTGGACCCCACATGAGAGTAAGGGGGTAACAAGTTAACTGTCCCCTAGGTGGCCCCCTGCCAGAGAGATAATGCCATTTGACCAGGAAGGGCTTGGGAGTGAAGAGAGAGGGCACCTAGACCCCAACTGGACATGCTGCTCTCTCTTTCCCAAGCTGATGACCTATGTGGATGAGCATGACCAAAACCAAAACCCTTTAACCTTTTCGACCATAGGACCTTGGCAAAGAGGTTAGGATGGGCTGATGGGATGGAGCCATCCAGTTCAGGAAGGAGACCTGGGCTGGTTATGGCTAATATGGGATGTTGGGGCATGCCCTATGCAGGGACAGGTGGTAGGGGGGCCAAGGAGAGACTTTGAGCCTAAAGGAAATACCTTTTGGAAACTTCAGTGGGCTTGCATCACTAGCAGTCCCATGGGGGCAGATGAGGCAAGTTCTGTTAGCTAACTATTCAGAAGGTGAAAGGCACTTAGGAGAGCAAGACTTTACTCAAGTCACTGGTACTTGGAGACTCTGTACCCAGAAGCTCTAAATGAGAAGTTAAGGGCTCTGGATTGAAGCTCTGAGCTCTCAGTTCTGTCCTTTCCCAAAGTTGGTTTGCTGATTTCTATGGGACCTCATCAGGAACAAAGAACACTTCAGCACCTCCAGAAGAGGGGGACCCTGCTTTCTTCAGGCCAAGCTGGACCTGATCAAGCAAGGGTGACTGACCACCTGGGCAGGTGCACAAAATACAGGAGACAGAGAAGGGAACCCAGGATTTTAGACGTATCTTCCCTCTTCTGGGGGTGGGGCAGGGAAGTAGGGCCAGAGATGGCACATGAGAAAATCCTAAGATCTTTTTCACTCTTGAATCTGCCTCATGAATCCAGTGGGCTTAGCTGAGGTCACACCTATGGCTGAAACCCTGGTCCTCAGCAGACTTCACCAATCCCATTTTTGGCAGGAGCTCCTACCTTTGCCCATAAAGATCCCTCCTGTTGCTCTCTTGATTCCTAGTGCCAGTCAAGAGTTGCCTTGCCTGTGGGGTTTGCCCTCCTGGGGCAGCTTAACAGGCATGAATGGGGGTTCTGACGTGATTAAAGATCCCTATGAAAGGGATTTTAAAAACTAACTCCTCAGCATCCATGCCAAGTCCTTTCCTTCCCTGGGCTCTTTGTTGAATGAATGGTGGCTGCCTGCTCCCTGAGGAAACCCATTCCCTGGTTTCTCTCAGCATTTCAGTTTGAAGGGGATGGGGTCCCTACCCAACCCTGAAGCAGCAATTTCCAATATGAAGAAGGTGGGGAGCCTAGAGGTCCACCATTCAAACATAGGAGCATCTCTGCCCAGTGCACCCCTCGGGTCTATTCCTCAGATGCAACGTAGCCACAGCTGTGGTTTGAGACCATCGGAGCTAGATTGAAGCAAGGTTAGCATCAATGGCATAAGATTCTCCTGGCCTCCAAGAACTGGGGAGAAGTTGGCCTTCTCCTGCCTTCCAGGGTCTTCTAAAAGTTCTCCCCAGACCCTGTTCCTTTGAAAGTTATAACCTTTGGGGAGAAAGCTTCAGGGTCCTGGCTTCCATTGGATCTTTCTGGCATCATCACCAGTTGTATTACCATTTGTAGCTTTCACCTTTTCCACTCTCCATTTTCTACTATCATAATCTTCACTGTGGCGTAGCAGACTTGGACTTAGAAAGCTGAGTTCCTGCTCTTCTCTGCTGTGTCACCTGAAGCAAGTCACTCATCCTTTCTGAGACTGAGGCTCAGAGACACTGAACTGCTCTGGGGCTCAGTTTCTTTATGTGTAGAAGGAGGGAGTTGGACTGAATGACCCCTAAGGTCTCTTCCAGCTCTCAATCAGATCCTATGATCCCCATCTGTAAAATGGGGATGATAATATTTGTTCTACCTACCTCACAGGGATGTTGTGAGGAAAGTACTTTGCAAATCCTAAAGCACCATAGACATAGAAATTATTCTGTCATCATTTTTATCATCCTGTCATCTTCATTACCAAGTTTCCTGGAGGCCCCCATCATAACACCTAGAAGGATTGGGCACAAGCTGTCTTGTCTCAGTCTTGGGTGACCAGCAGGATGATGAAAAGCTTCCTGGGCACCTCTTCTCTGGACTCCTTTCTCTTTCCCCTTGTTAAATAAGAAGTTCCCAGGGAGAATGGCCCTAAGACCAAGAGATCCTACTGAAACATAGGTCCCAGGCCATTCCCGGGAAGTTGGAGGAAAGATGGAAAGAGTACTCCTATGGGTATTTCCACCATGATGAGCAGGAACTGGCTTCCTAACTTCAGACTTGGAGCCTGACCTAGGAGTATCAACAGGACGGCTGGATACAGTCAGATAGATCACTCCATTGAGGGTCAGATATCACAACAAGACTCTAGGCCTGGAAGACATCCAGCCCTTGACATCCCCAGTGATGTCTTTTTCCTTCAAGCCCAGGGGAAAAGAAGATGCCACATCTTTCCTTGGCAACCTACTCCAGGATTTAATAATTGTCACAACCAGAAGGTCCTTCCTTTGGCCTAACTTGGGCCTTCAGAGAGATCTTCTGAACAGCATTCCTTCATTTGGAGGTTGTATTCTGCTGATGGCATAGTTATGTTTACAGAGACCACGTCTGACCTGTTCTTCCATGTGTTTTCTCAGAAGTGTGGTAGCCTGAAGCTTCTCCAGCTCTGGCCTTCAAGAGGTAACATTCCATGACCAGGACCAATTCACTTTCCCACCAAACCTCTTCCTCAAACCTTGACTCAGAAAGCCCAATACCGAGAGCATCTCCAGATCGCAGATAAGCCATTTCTCAGTGAACTCAACTCCCCGAGAGCTCCCCAAATCTATTCTCATGGGGACAAAAGACATATCCCCATGGGCTCTTTCCTTTTGATTCCCATCCGGTTTTTCACCATGCCCTGTGTATGTGTGTATGTTTGGAAGGGGGGAGGAGGAATTGGGGATCCCTTTTATGTAAAGCAGCCCCTCATATTAGCAGGCAGCCTTCTCACCAGAGAAGATGAGAGGCAAGAGGTCTCAAAAGATCTAAGGCGAGCTGTCAAGCAGGTTCATTGAAGTCTTATGAAGGCATGCATTCCAGGTGGTTTGGAAAACCCCAAAGGCCACCCTCTCCAACTACCATTGTAAATAGAGTCCTTAGAGAAATAAGAAACTACCCCTGTCTGATCACAACTAGCTATTTACCCTCCTCTGAGGTTAACCCCCTGAGACTCATTGTACATTAGCTCGAAACTTGGTGATGTGCTGTTTGTTTATAGGAAGTTTTTTGTTGTTTTGTTTTTGTTTTGTTTTTGATACTGAAAAGACAACCCTCCCCCTCCCCACCCCACCCCACTGTGAGTGACGTGCTAGTGCCATGGGGCCACCTGTAGAGATCTGCATATTGTGTGTTTGAAAAGATACATTCCAGGATCCATTGGGATTATATTGTCTTCATCTTGTTCCCTTCCTCTGATTTTCCTTCCTTGCTACAAAAAAAAAAGAAAGGAAGAAAGAAAGAGACATTCATGTGTGAAGAACTGAGAACCAGGCACTGTTTGCTTGCTTTAAAAAAAATGCCCATTTGTTATACCCATGTTCTCCTCTTCCCTCACCAAAGGAACATTGTGGGGTCGGAGGAAATGGGGAGACAGAGGTGGGGGCAGAGAGGGGGGACAAGAGAGAAAAAATGTGGAGAGATTTGCCCAGAAGAAATGAGGTCAGTTTGGGGCTGAGTGGTGAAGTCCAGGGTTGGACAGGATCTGGACAGCAGACACCCAGTCTGACTTCAGCAGCAGAAGCTAATCTCATTTAGGACCAAATGGGCCACATGTTTTGACCCTTGAAAGCCTCTTGTGCCCCCAAGAATTCCAAGTACCATGTATTTACAACTCAAGGACACTCTGGGCCTTCTCTCTCTGGACTATGCTCTCTCTTACCCCCACATTTGAACATTCCAGGGAGCTGATATATCCTCTCTGTCCACCTTTAGGGGTGCCAACCCAAGACCAAATTGAGGGGGAGGGGAACTCTAGCCACCTCCTTTAAACAGTGGCACCTCACTGCTCAGAGACATTTGTGTATTTAATGCTTCTAACACAGCCACCTCCCCTACCTGGGACATGTCTGCTAGTGATAGAGAACATTCCTTCTTGCTAGTATCTGCGAATTCATTTGCTTCTGTGTTTGAGACATAACCATTTCCCTATATGTGAGAGCGAGTACGTGTGTGCACGTGTGCGCGGGAGGCGTACAGAAAGTGTGTCCAGGAGAGCGTGTGTTTAAATATAATCGCACCATAATTTATTCAGCTATATGG